TTTCGTGGTCGGCCGAGTATTGCTCGGTTTAAGTACGCGTTATGCGTAGTGCTCGGCCTAGGTGCCTCCTTAGCCGAGGAGGTTACTCGGGAGGGAAACCTGTAGGGCTCGAGCGTACTTTGGAGCAGTCGGCCAAGGATTGCTTGGTTCAAATGTGCGAGAGTGCGTAGTGCTCGGCCTATGTGACCTAAATAACAACAATAAAAAATGAGAAACATGATGAAATTTGAAGTTTTTATTAGCGTAAATGCGGGAGACGTAAATTTACATCGGGCTTGTAAAACTGACGTAAATTTACGTCAGACATTACCAAAATCTGACGTAAAAAAGTAGTAAAAAAAACATAAGAATGTAAGTAGAATGGCCCGTTCTGAATGGATTAAAATACATGTTTCTATTCCAATGATGTGATGTAAATATTTTCCAACAAATGTGAAGTTAGCGGAAAAACACATAGAAGGAAGGGGGGTTGAATATGTGTGTGTATGTGAAAAAGGATTTTTAAAATCTTTTCACAAAAAGGCTCTCTTTCCTCCAGTAAATAACATTAGTGAAAGATGAACGAAAACTACCCAAGGTTGGTTTAGTAAAATCATTTTCAGTCTGGGAGTTTCATTGTCTGTTTAGATAAAATGCTTCTTTAAACAAAAACCATTCTTTAAGGTGAATGTTGAACAAGTATGGTTTTTGTCTAAAGATGGTTTTAATAAATGATAATCATTGGATGAAGTTTTCCATATTTAAGATCAATCAAATAAAGTGAGTCTAAAATATTAAGGCGTAGAGCAAATATTTTTATACTGGTTCACTCAAACTGAGCTACGTCTAGTCTCTTTCAAATGAAGGGTTCCACTAGATAGTTAATTAAGTACAAGTATTGTTTGTTCAACCTCTTCAGGCTCGCAGTGAGTATTATAGACCACCCAGGTCACGAACACTCCTGGTCCCAAATATTCTCAACTACTTCTGGCTCATCTGCTTCACTCACAAACGTTAGTATTCTTAAACCACTTCTAGTTGCCCGAGTATTCTCAACCACTCCTGGTTCGTCAACCTCACTTGTTAATGCTAGTATTCTTTGCTCAGCCACTTCTGGCTCTCAATATGTATTATCGACCAACTCTTGGCCCGCCAGCTTCACTCACTAGCGCTAGTATTCTTTAATCAGCCACTTTTGGCTCCCAACGAGTATTCTTGACCAACTCTTTGCCCATTGACTTCACTCATCAACACTAGTATTGTTTACTCAGCCACTTCTGGCTCGTAGTGAGTATTCTTTGACAAG